TCTAGAACATTAACAATTAGAAAGTAGTGGGGCGCATGGCATCGTGCCTTAAGGCAAATTGCTGGAACTTCCCGTACCAAAAATTATTCTTTTAAAAGACTAACATTTTTGAAAAAAATTTACTTGGAAAAAATTAGATTTTTGAGAAAGTATAAATTTTTGACAAAAATTAATTTTTTTGGAAAAAAGACTTTTTGAAAAAAAAAATGTTTTCTTTATTTTGAAATATTTTGGAATTTCTGAACTTTTTTTCAAAACAATCGTACTGCTTTAACTGCATAGGGATGAAATATCGAAGCGCGTAAGCGCTGCGTCGCCGTCTAACGGATAAACTTGGTACGGAACCTATAGGAATGTAAACAAAAATTATACTTATTGGTAAAATCTCTATAAAATATCTGATAATTTTTATGTGCGTATGTCTAATGATCATTTTTGACCGCCAAATGGCTTTTTTTTACTTTTTTCACTAGATCTCCGAAACCGCTAGACCTGCCTTCATGAAAATTTAATCAGTTGTTCACCTTGTCTATACAAGTGAACTGTTTCTTTCAAATTATTCAAATCAGACACTCCGCTCTCTTAAAAACTGAGTTACCGTTTGTGGTACTTTTGCCCCGTATCTTCGAAACGGCTAGACCTGCCTATGCCAAAAACTAATCAGCACGTCTCCTTATAAAAAGCAATCGAATGTTTTTTGAACACGGTTGAAACGTGTTCCCGAAATCGTCGAGGAAAATTTGTATCCGCATACACACACACTCATACACACACACTTACACACATGCACACATACACACACATACATCAATTTCTTCTAAGATATGCCAAAATGTTCAAAAATCTCTGAAACGTAAAGAAAAATAAAAATTTTATTTTGATTTTTTTATGATTACTATAACTTACCCTACGGGAAGTTAATAAATTTTAGATGAATAAAATAAACAATAAAATTGAATACAAAACATTTACATAAATTTAATGAAAAATTCAATTATCACTTCATTATCATTTATTAAAACTATAATAGAAGAAATAGCAAAGTAATGGTAAGTGTTAATCACCTAGTCATATTCAATGCACATTGAACCAACATTATAAAAAGCGCAAGGTCAAAAATATTTTGAGCCTCGACTCCAATTTTATCATTGAGAGCCATTTGATCTGTAGCAGTTACCCCATTTCCCATTTTTTGGAAAGAAAATGGAAAAAAACGAGCAATTGACACTCTTACAAAAAAATGTTCAGTTCATTATAAAGATTTTAATACATTTAGCGAGGTTTAATGCACTATTTTAGGGCTATATTTTAGCCTCTGAAAAGTTGCAAGTAAGTAAAATTTTTAATTTAGCTCCAAAACTTTAGGGGTCTTTTCTCAATTGAAAATTAAGAAGCTTTAAATAAAATTAAGATATCGTTTTACTGATTTAGGGTTCGGCATTAACAAACAAAATTATTTACATAAAATTGCACTAATTGAGCGATTATAACCAGAGAATCTCTAAACATAAGTCACCCGATTTAAGGTGATGGCTGGTTACACTTTTTACCCCTTTACTTTAAAATTGTTAAAAATTTTCAACTTAACTTGTTTTTGAAACGATGGTAGTGGAACTTTCTACCCGCAAACCATTAAGCCCTGCTCTGTCCTGCATTTTAAAATACTTGACTATAGTACTAATAATTCATTTAATATCTATTATATAAGAATTATTATTTGATGGTTTAGTACAATATATCAAAAACACGTTTCATTTGAATTTTTAATTTTTTCTAGAAAACAAATAAATATAAAAGATAATATGATATTGGACTCCGGATATCAACCATTTTCAATGTTCTATGCGCATCCTGTTTTTCGATAGGAAGTGAACCAGCAAAAATTACAAACAATTATTCGATTCCATCAAATTTCATTCACTAATTTTTTGCAACATCATATTGTATATATAGTTGAAAAATATTTGCGTGGTACATACATCATAGCACAGTAATATTAAATATGTAGTTATTAAAATTGATAAAAAAATCATTGAAACACAAAAGCTCGATGATTGCGTAGAATCATTCAATTTACTAACATAAATAAATGAAAACACCAAAAACTATATTAAATACATCGAGAAAATACATCTTTACTCTACTGACTAATTTTTTGTCTAAGTTTTTGATTTGAAGATTTCGATTTGAATGATTCAAAAAGCATTTCACTTATATTAACGGATAAAAAAATTGATTACATTTTTGGGACAACATGTCTACCGGTTTCAAAGATCCAATGAAAATGTTAAAAAATGCCATTTGGCCGCCAAAAATGATCATTTTTTTAGACATATGCACATCAAATTATCAGATATTTCATAGAGATTTTGATGATAAGTACAAATTTTGTTTTCATTTCCATGAGTTCCGTGCCAAGATTTATAATGCCTAACCGCAAGACTGCGACGCGGCGTTTACGCGCTTCCATACTTTGTCTTAAAAGCAAATCCGCATCGCGATTGCTTTGAAACAAATTCAAAATTCACAAATAATATCAGAAATATCAAAAATGTTAAACAATGTCATTAAAAAATTTTTTTTTTCATAATTTTCAATTTTTTTTTAAAGCTTCTAAAAATTCTAAATTACGCTACGGGTAGTCCAGAAATCAGCCTTAAAATTTATCAAAAATTCATACAAAAATTTATCAAAATCGTCAAGATCGGTTCAGACTAATCGTAATAAACGATTTTTTTTTTATCAAATGTCATCAAATGGCTTTTAAATTTTTGAAATCGATGCATCCTGTTTTGAGACAACTTCGACGTAAGGTCCAATTTTGGTTATTTATTATGCACAGGAACATCGTTTTCCCAATTTTGATCCAAACGGATCAGAAGGTCAGTCAAATTAGTAAATCGGATTTTTAAATCAAAACTAAATTTTCCTTCGCTACTAATAATTGATTTTTTTCATAATTGTAATTGAAAAAATAATCTTTATAACTTAAATTAGAAAAGTAGATTGATCACAGAGTAACAAACTAATTTTACCGTATCAATAAACTTCGTCTTCATCAAAAGTGCAATAAAAGTGTAATGGGAACAATCAGATAATTGAACCATCAACGCTTTGCTTTGTATTCAATAAGCAGATTTTAACACGAGATTAGTATAATTAATTCCACGTTATTATTTATTCATATTTAAATATCACTTGTCAATTCTTATAAAATATCTTAATATCTCAATATGTATGTACACATTACAATCAGTCGTTCTTATACAACATTCAGTAAATTTGATGGTTTATTAAATAAAGGAAAAAGGTCGAAAGGTCACCCATTGGTGATCCGATTCGATGTTGGATATGTTTAGCTTATAGATGTAGTCCTGTTGTGAAAATATTAATTAAGCCTACGAGTAATTGTATATATCATAGGATTACTAAAGAATATCAAAAAGGGGCCGTTTTCTTCTGAGCCGTTCAATGCCATGGTTTTTTATTAAGTTTTTGGCCATGATGTTAGGGTGGTTGTGTATTCTATCCTTGTATCTCAGACTGAACTTTTCAGTTTCTTCCTTAACAGTGTTAATGTTCAAATCTGTATGAACCAACCAATTTGGGGCATACTTGGGTGCAAAATCTTGTTTTGAAATCTTTGTATTATAGCGATGTTGGATTTGCGTGCCGTTCCCCAAAGCTGTATTCCGTACGTCCAAATTGGTTTCAACATGACTTTGTGCAGAAGAAGTTTGTTTCATGATAGCTTGTCAATTAAAGATAATATTAACGTTTTGTCAGACAAGTTGTTACAATTACAAAATTAATCAAAAACAAACATTTTTGATAATGATTCTTTCCGAATGTAAAGAATTTCTAAATTTTGCTTTGACCATCATGCAACAATAATGATAACTTGCCTCAGTGATTGCCTCTGGTTTTCTTTAGAAATATGTATAGATCTAGATTAAAAATATTTTAGTGAGAATATATTCTTTTCCCGGCATTGCTGCATCAAATTAAATATATATCAACGGTATTACAAAAATTATAATAATAAAAATAAATCAAATATATAGATGAGTTTACTCATTGGATTCTTCTTGAAAGTTCTTGAACTTCTTTTACTGGTAATATAAATCTGAATTAGTTTATTTATTTATACGATTTAGATTTACCGATATATAAGAAATTCCAAAATACCATTATTTTTAATTTTTTTAACCAGAAAATCGTGTTAACCAATTTCATGTTTTCTCGACGTTTCAAGGAATTCTGAAAACCAAAATCGAAAATGTATTTGTGTGTGCATTTGAGTGTGTGTACATTAGCCAAAATTTGACAATTCGCAAATTAGATCACAATGTTTCGTCCACGTTTTAACCAAAAATCCTGAACCAATTTTAAATATTTAGAAAATCAGAAAGATGTTAAGTGGAAATTGTTTGTTTTTGGTAAAGTGAAGATATTTTTATAAAAATATCTTAATTTGATAGCACAAAAGTGGCTTCATTATAAAAATTTATCAAAGTTTAGAAAAATAGGTCATAATTTCAAAATTCGATCGTCATAATTTTAAAAGTTGCTAATTTCAAATCGTATTGGTTATGTCGTGTATTTCAACAAATTGGAAAAATTTTACAACTTGCCTTTAGGTAAAATTCTATGTACACCTAGTTAAAAGAAATATTTTGTTACTTTGCTTTAAAAAATAAATAAAATATTGATATATTAATATTATTACATATTCCAATACCTTCATATTATTTTTTCACATGAGTTGAATAATGAGCTCAACTTATTAACGATTGACGACTTTTGTGTATTTTTTTTATTTATTTATAAAATACAATTCAGAAATGTACTTTGATTCTTGGATGTATAACAACAATGTTGACCGTCGTTCAAGAACTTTGGAATAATAGGACCGTATTTCTTAGATAGATTATTCTTCTAGTTATATTAAAAAAACAACAAGTCAATTACGAATAATTTATCAAACTATACTCCATCAATAATCAAATAATAACAAAAAATAATAAATAACAATTATATTAATTCATCATCTGGGAAGATTCGGTGACTTCATAATCTCTGCGATTCAACCAGTCCACATATAATCTCAAGTATCGATCGCATGGTTCGAAGTTCAATTCTGCAAGGCAGAATATTCTGTAGGCATCTTCTCCGTATTGCCCAATTCCGCACAAATCGCTAGCATTGCGCCACCTTCCTTGCAGAAACTCCTTCGACATTTTCTGTATCATAGTTGCTCGTTTTGTGAGACCCAGTGTGATAAAATATTTTTCTAGTTCATTGATATCTGCCCAAATCACACTAATTGGATCTGGAAATTCTCGCAAAAACTTCCAAAGTAATGGCTTTGCTTGAAGTCCAGTCGTTTTGGTTAGAAATATTGTTGCTACTAATAATGCCCAAGGATTCTCAGAAAATTCTTCTTCTATAAGGGCATGAGGAGATCGTGGTGCAACCCAGCGAGGGGTAAAGTGGTTTAAGGGAGTGATACATGGAAATTCCTCAGTACATTTCTTCAATTTAAAATTAATGCAGCAAGAGGACGTTTCTTTTTCCGAAAAATGTTGTGATGAAACTATATTGTCCTCATCATCTTCTTCGCTTTCATTTAAAATATCCTTAGAACTTAAACTGACATCATGAAAACATGGCAAATACTTCCTAAAATATTCGACGGAGAAGCTGTCCAGTCCTGCTGGTTCTTTGGTTTTTCTAATTTTGAAATCTAATCTATTCGATTTCGAAAGAAAATTCAATGGTAAATTATGTAATAAGCGTCTTGAAACCGCTACTATGTAAATATCTTGATCGGTTTGAAAATTTTCGTTCCCAGTAATTAGAAATATATTTTCTCGGAAATATTTACTGATCACAGTAATGGGTTTCCAGAGAGGCTGCAATATGAAATGTAATATTGTAAATAAGTTTGAAATCTATTTGTAATTGAGTAAATTGAAATTTTAGAAAATTACTTCATAAAATAATAGCCATATAAATCCTCCCCCTAAAAGCCTGAAGTGATCAATGGACGCCCCTTTAGTAGAAACGGTTTGGACACAATTATAAACCGAATTTAAAAATTTAATAATTGTTCGAAAGATTCCAATCAATATCTTCCAAACATCGTGCTCATTAGCTTTTGGTAAAGGTCGGCCGGGCCGTTTCTTCGTTATTAATTTATTTTGACGATTCTGACGAAGCTTTGTATGACGATGGATTCAAATATTATAGGCGTACGATAAGCGATTGCATCATAAAAAATCACCAAAGTTACTGATTACAGTTTACGTCCACACTCAAATAAAAGACATTTTCAGAACACCAAGTGGATGAAATGAAATGTACTAAACAAATTAATTTATTTTACACAATTACAGACATTATAAGTATATTTGAAATACATCATTTAGAAATCGCAGCATTTTACCTAAATAGCTGAATCTCAATTCTAGTGTAAGGCATAAATTCTAGTTTTTTTTTAAACCATCGTTAATAAAAGGCAATAATTTTTTTTACTATTATTTTTTTATAATTAAATTTCCGTAGGGTAAGTTATAGTAATGGCCCGAAAATCGAAAATAAAAATTTTTGCATATCTTCACGTTTCAGAAGTTTCTGAACATTTTGGCATGCCTCAGAAAAAATCGATGTGTGTGTGAGTGTGTGTTTGCAATTTTGAATGGTTCAAAAACATTCGGCAAAGGCAGGTCCAGCCGTTGCGAAGATACAGGACAAAGACTGCAGAAAATAGAAATCGAGTTTTTGAAAGAACGGAGATTGCGATTTGAATGATCCAAAAAACATTCAATTTGTAATGATTGGGAGAAGTGGTGATTATTTTTTGGCAAAGACAGGTCGAACCATTTCGAAGATACAGAGCTAAACTAGCTGTAAGTGGAATTCTGTCTTAAGGCAATTAAGGCATCGTGCCTTAAGGCAAATTGCTGGAACTTCCCGTACCAAAAATTTTTATTTTTTTAAAAACAATTAACATTTTTGAAAAAAAATTACTTTGAAAGAATAAGATTTTTGAGAAACTATAAATTGGACAAAAAATAACTTTTTTTTGAAAAAAAAAATTTTTTTTTAAAAAACATTTTTTTTAAATTTTTTTTTTTTGAAAAAAAAATTTTTTTTTTATTTTGACATATTGTAGAAGATCTGAACTTTTTTTCAAAGCAATCGTACTGCTTTAACTGCATAGGGACAAAATATAAAGCGCGTAAGCGCCGCGTCGCTGTCTAACGCATAAGCATTGGTACGGAACCCATAGAAATGTTAACAAAATGTATACTTATTGTTAAAATCTCTATAAAATATCTGATAATTTGATGTGCATATGTCTAATGATCATTTTTGACCGCCAAATGGCTCATTTTTTTACTTTTTCCTCCATATCTCCGAAACCGCTAGACCTACCTTCATGAAAATTTTATCGCTTCTTCATCTTGTCAAGTGAAATGTTTTTTGAATTATTCAAATCGGACGCTCCGTTCTCTTAAAAACTGAGTTACCGTTTTCGGCACTTTTTGCCCCGTATCTTCGAAACGGCTAGACCTGCCTTCGCCAAAAACTAATCAGCACGTCTCCTTATCAATACAAATCGAATGTTTTTTGAATTATTCAAATCGGTTGATCCGTGTTCCCGAAATCGTCGACGAAAATTTGTATCCGCACATACATACACACACGCACATACATACATACATACATACATACACACACACACACACACACACACATACATCCATTTTTTCTAAGGTATGCCAAAATGTTCAGAAACCTTTGAAACATAAAGATATATAAAAATTTTCATTTTCGATTTTTTTGCGATTACTATAACTTGCCCTACGGGAAGTTAATGAACAAAAATGGCAGTTTTTGAGAGAACTAAGCATTCGATTTGAATGATTCAAAAAAACTTCGTGCTTGTGCTGACAAAACAATTGCTTTTGGAATTTTTTTAACTTTCCGTAGGGTAAGTTATAATAATCACAAAAAATCGAAAATGAAAATTTTTATATATCTTTACGTTTCAGAGGTTTCTGAACATTTTGGCATACCTTAGAAAAAATGGATGTATTTGTGTGTGTGTATGTGTGTGTATATGTGTGTGCGGATACAAATTTTCGTCGACGATTTTGGGAACACGGTTCAGCCGATTTCAATTATTCAAAAAACATTCGATTGCTCTTGATAAGGAGACGTGCTGATTAGTTTTTGGCGAAGGCAGGTCTAGCCGTTTCGAAGATACGGGGCAAAAAGTGCCGAAAACGGTAACTCAGTTTTTAAGAGAACGGAGCGTCCGATTTGAATAATTCAAAAAACATTTTACTTGTATTGACAAACTTTAAATTTTCATGAAGGCAGGTCTAGCGGTTTCGGAGATCTAGTAAAAAAAGTAAAAAAATGCTATTTTGACGGCCAAAATTGATCATTAGACATATGCACATAAAATTATCAGATATTTTATAGAGATTTTAACAACAAGTATAAATTTTGTTTACATTTCTATGGGTTCCGTACCAATGTTTATCCGTTAGACGGCGACGCGGCGCTTACGCGCTTCGATATTCCGTTTCTATGCAGTTAAAGCAGTACGATTGCTTGGAAAAAAAGTTCAGAACTTCCAAAATATTTCAAAATAAAGAAAAAAAAAATGTTCAAAAAGTCTTTTTTCCAAAAAAAATCTTTATTCAAAAATTTATAGTTTCTCAAAAAATCTAATTTTTTCAAAAATGTTAATCTTTTTAAAAAAAATAATTTTTGGTACGGAAAGTTCCAGCAATTTGCCTTAAGGCATGATGCCATGCACCCCACAAGTTTCGGTTTTCTTTTGCCCCATAACGTATACGTCCAAAACAAAAAGAATGAAATAATACGACAAAACAAAATAACTTAATCTTAACGATAAAATCTACATAACATAGTTAACAGAAATAGTTTGTAAAATAAAATTGTATAAATGAAAACAACAGAACGACTAACCGTTGGATTGCTCGAATTATCGCCTCCGTTCAACGGCGATATGGAATTCATAATAAAACAATATTCGACTTGTTTTCGCCAAAGTCTGACAGTGCATTAGTGACATTCATATATTCATATATTATATAACTGTATAATCATTAAACTGTATACTATCGGCCATCGCGTGATTTATTATTACAATATTGTAAAGAAATCTCAACATTCATTGTTCCGACCACACATTAATGCGACTGAATGCTACAATCAGAAATATTACACCGAAGTTTGACGTTTCTGACCTTGAATTGCGGTGTAATATATAACACTGCCATCTATAGACGAAGAGCTGGCAACTAGTTTCGGTACATGATTTTGATTATTTCAAATGCGTACTAAGGACTTCAGAGCTATATTTTTTAAATTTTTATTTGCAAAAACATAAACTGTTTTAAAATATGTTTTTTTGTAATTTTTAACACTTTTAGATAGCGTTTCATATCTCAAATCGTAATCGGGTTTTAAACAGTAGTTAAGCATATCCATTTCTAATTCAATACGTGGATGAAAATAACATATTTGTAGAGGAAGTCACCAAATATGGAATATAATTTTGTTTTTGGGTATAAAAAAAACTTCATATTAATATAATTAATTAAATCAGTTTAATGTTTTCACTAATCAGCCATACACTTATATGTAGAAATTAACAGCCTTTAATGAAATATATTAGTCTTGAAAATGTGTCTTGCTTACCGAATTTATGCCTAAAGGGTCCACTATAAATTCGGACAGGTACTGCGAGACACTAACAAAACTCAAAAGAGTCATCCAAAATCGCCGGAGAAGAAGGCTGAGCAAGGGCGTGGCGGCGGAGTTCTTCGTAGCGGGTTTTCAGAAGAGATCTGTCGACTATGTAGAAAAATAGTTTAAAATACAAGCTTTCCGATAGTATACATATTTATTGCAAAAAAAAAGCCTCAACCCTGAAAAAAATGTGGGAACTTTTTTTTTACATGACCCTCGTAAGTCCATCAACTCAGAGTTTTCTTCTTCGCTATCGTCCTTATTTTTCTTCTTTTGTTTGTTCTTCTTTGCAGTTTTCTTCTTATTCTTCGACTAGACTAATTTACTTTCTTTTTTTTGTTACTTCATATTTTTTTAACTTTCCGTAGGGTGCAATCGCCCTATCGTTATTGTAATCGTCTAAAAATCGAAATTGAAAATTTTTACATTTCTTCACGTTTTGAAAGTTTCCGAACATTTTGGCATACCTCAGAAAAAATGGATGTGTGTGTATGTATGTATTTATGTGTGTGTGTATGCAGGGCCGGTCCTGCCTTGCATGCGATGCATGCAAAAAATGCGGGCGCACGCCTTAGGGGGCGCCAAAACGAGATTTGGAAATAGAATTTATAATATATTATTCACATTTTTTTTAATATAAAATTTATAATACTTAATAGATTATAATAAAAAAACTAACTTAATGGATACGTAGACACAAAAAGCATATTCAGTTTGCAATGTGATATCAGTAGAAACAATTCATTACTCTACAAATTAGTAAATTATTTTTCTGCTTATTGTTTAATGTACTTATTAAATTTTTCTCGTTTGAAGTTAGTGTGGATTCGAAAAAGAAATTATCTAGTGTTTAAACCCGTAAGTGCAAACCTACGAAAGTTTAAATTATTGGGCATTATTGACGAAAAACTACAAGCTGATTTAGTTCGAACGAAACTTGTTAAAACAATAGATACAAATTATAATAGAAAAACATGGTAAATCAGAAGTCAGTGCATAGAAAATGGCTTATTAAGACCGTGTAACTGAATAGTAACTTTTGGTTTTGTTGAAAATGTTTCGCATCTGATGAACTTTGAACGTTGAAGACATACGTAGTTAGATTTATAGAAATGGAGCAAATATGAAAAATGGAAGCAAAATGTACTAGAAACAAAAATCTTGAGCTTTTTTTATACCTATTGTTGTCCATACCAATTTTAATTATTAGCTAAGCAGAAATAATACAGATACAAATATAATTGTGTTTTGTTTTCAATATAGTTAAGAAAATATGTAATTTCTTTGCATCTTTTAATAAAATACGTTAAAAATTTAACTTTAAAACAACAATCTGATATTCTGAATCAGATGGGAAAGTAAATATATTCATATTTTATTCAAATTCGGTCCTTACGATATCAATAAGGAGAAGTTTACGATGCAATTTTGGATATAGTAAATATTGAAAAAAAAAATTAAAACAAAACTTAAAAAATCCAACATGAAAAAACAGTGTTCTGTTTAAAAATGAAATAAGGAAAATGTTTCAAAATCCAAATATTAATATTTCACATATGTTAAAAATACTTGAAAATGTAAAATATTTGATTATGGTCAACCCGCAAACCGCTTCGATTTTCTAAATAAAATTAGAATCAATGTATTTTATAAGCTTTTAGATTATATTTATTTTTTTGTGTACTAAATCCAGAATGATTAACCCCTTCGACTCGGATGCCGAAAATTCGCGAGTGGAAAATGTTAAAAATCAATTTAAAGAATTTACGTAAATATTTATATAATTTTAATATAAATGTTAAAACTGTTAAAATTATGGGGTGGGGGGGGCGCTAGAACAAATCTTGCATGCGGGCGCTGAGGACCCCAGGACCGGCCCTGTGTGTATGTATGTATGGATACAATAATTCGTCCACGTTTTCGGGCACACGGATGGTTGAATGGTTCAAAAAGCAGTCGATTCTTATTGATAGGGAGATGTGCTGATTAGTTTTTGGTCTGCCATTTCGAAGATACGGAGCAAAGAATGCATAAAATAGAAATCGAGTTTTTGAGAGATCGGAGCATCGGATTTGAATGATCCGAAAAACATTCAATTCGTAATGACGGGAAGAAGTAGTGATTAGTTTTTGGCAAAGACAGGTCCAGCGGTGTGAGAGACACTGAACTAAATGTGCAAAAAATGGCAGTTTTTAAGAGAACTAAGCGTCCGATTTGAATGATTCAAAAAACTCTCTGCTTGTTTTAACAAAATAGTTGCTTTGGGAAAAAAAAAATTGTTTCAATTTTTTTTTTTCAAAAAATTTTTTTTTTCAAAAAATATTATTTTTGTATATCGAAAATAATTCAGATTTTAATAGTAATTCTGACTTAAGTTCTAATATACTTCAAACAAATACTTTCAACTTTGCAATTCAGTTTATATAATTCTTATAAATATTAGACAATGTTATAGTATTTATTTACAATAATCTATTTGAAAACATTCAGTATTCCTCGAACATTTCGTTACGGTACGGAAAGTTCCAGCAATTTGCCTTAAGGCACGATGCCTTAAGGCAAACCATTAGTTATAAATCATTTTTATTGGGAGAAGATGTTATGACTGCTGCTACAGCTCTGCTAGATCAATGGTGTGAGTGCGTTAGTAGACCGAATGAAACAAAAGATGGTCGAGTATTGCGTATATTGCTTAAATGAAGTTATTCCCTATTTGGTGACTTTCCTCTTATAATCAAATGTGCAACTGTGTGCTACTAGTAGTGCATGGCGTCGTGCCTTGAGGCAAATTGCTGGAAATTCCCGTACCAGAATTAAATATTCGAGAAAAAAACACTGATCAATAAATATTGATCAATTACTATATGTTTATACGTTCAATATTATACAATGACGATGTTATTGCTCAAAACACTTCAAAATGTTTACCATTAAGAAGAGATGTTCAATGAATCCATCTTAGGGTATATTTCTTACGTTTAGAATAAGGCATATGAAATATATACATTTTTAAAATGAATTGTAAATATAAATTTAAATTCAAAGTATAAAACTACGTATATTTTTAAAAAATTTGAAAGAAAAAGAATCTGAAAATGTTGATATTTGTATGAACCGTACAAGTTCGGTTCAAATCGGACCCTCCGATATCTCAAAAACTGAATTACCGTTTTTGCCCCATATCTTATCCCATAGCCATAACGGCTAGGCCAGTCCTCGCCAATATCAAATGTTTTTTTAATGTCTCTTGAATCGCACGAAAAATTGTATCCAAACATTCAGTCGCGTAATCGCGTAAACATTTTAAAAATATACTTAACAAAAAAATAACTGTTCATTAAGTTTTTTATATTGGAAGCAGCTATAGTTCTTCCTTGCAACTTGCAACCACCTAGCGCCCTCTGAGAAGACGCGCAAGACAGGTTGGAAACCATGAGGCTAAATACCAAATAACGGACATTAAATTGATGGTGTGTGGGATCATACTGATACTAAAGAAAATTCTCGTTTATTAATATATATTTGATCAATAAAATTAATAATAACAATTAAATTTTAAAATTTGCATTTTTGAAATTTAACAAAATTGAAATTGTTGTCGTTGACGCATACATTTTTGCGCAATTACAAAAAATATTTCTAAAAGGAGAAATTAATAGAAAACGTTTATCTCAAAATCAATTTCAAATGTTAGTCTCACTAAACTAATCACCCTTAATACTCTCAAATCAAAATTTGTTTCAAGCTTTCGGTCTAATATTACGGAGACAATACATTCGAACATGAATCAATTCTTTATAACATTATTAATAAATGATGATGCGTAGATTTGCAAGAATTAATAATAGTATGCTCATTTATAATTAGTGTTATGTTGTATTTTTCTGGTAGCCAGATGCTTTATCACGATTCATTCAAACAAATTTTATTAAATAACAAATTGGTATATTATTCATAAGAAATAATTAACTTCTCGAAGAAGAAGTTTGTTTTTATAAAAAAAATCCGATTTGCTAATTTTATATTTGCTCGACGTTTTAATAAGCCATTCTGAATCGAATGAGAATGAGAAAAAAGTATGTGAACACATGTTTCACCTTAATTCCACGTTTTCTCAACGGCTGAACCGATTTGAAAAGTTTAAAAGCCATTCGATGTATCTCGATGAGGACTATCATTTCTCAGTTTTATGTAACGATAGACCGAGCCATTTCTTTGCAATTTGTAAAAAAGTGTACCTTTTCGTCCACGCTTTAGCTCACAATCCTGAAAAATATTGGCTGGGAGTTTTAGGTGAAGATCGACCGAGCCGTTTCTTGTAATTAACTGTTGAAAAAAATTTTTTTGTCGATTTCTATGAAGCTTTTTTTGAAGTTTTTTATCATGGTCTTATAGTACATGCTGAATTATTACAACCGTACGACAAGTAGTTTAATTT